GTACTGGTTGGTGTAGAGGAGCAACTGTTGACTAGTAAGATGAAGCAAGGAAGCTGGTGAATCGAGGAAGGAAGCTGGTGCTGGATGGTGAAGGGAAAGAGGGCCCAAACTGCAGCACCTCTTTGCGCTTTTTTAGCTACTGTTGTTACTCTACTTCTTAATACACAATAGATGCACTTACATGTCTCTTCAACAAGACAAACTGAAAGTGAGAGTTTTTTGGGTTTTAGTGCTCCAACAGCTTCAGTCATTTCCATGCGGTGGTAGGAGATGCCTTACAGCAGCGAAGCTTCGTGTGTTAGCGGGGGTGTGAGATGTGGGGTGTGCTGCTCCTCTGTATCCCCTCACAAAGTAAGCTCACGCCTACATTGCTCCCACCACATAGCGTTTCTGTGCGTGTGGCTTAAAAATGCAACAATTATTTTGTACGTCTGTTTTTAAGTGTCTGAGTGCAAGAATTGTGTTGTTGCTTTAGAGGGATGTTTTTATGCGTGACACTGGTAATACATGTTGCACACTCAAGGAGATAGACCAAAAGAGTGGGAAAATGTGAAGACTGAAAGCCTGCTGGAATAATATTGGAGGTCTGCAGAGAGCCAAAGCTGGACTGGTTTTTGGGAGCACTCCCTAAAGTAAACCATCCCCAAAACCCAGGTCCAGGGTCTTGATTTGGAGGAAACCAAGTAGCTGCTTCCAAAAGAGAATCCAGGAGCAAACAGACACTTGTGCAATGTGTGGGAGGCCAGCCTTTACTATAGCTGTTTTGGGAAGAAGTCATTGAACTGCATAGCTCACTTAATTTTTGGTTTAAAAAGTATATTAGCAATTATTTATGGGTTGGTTGTTTTTACAGGAAAAGCATCTAAACTGTCAAGCATCTAAAACCAAAATGCTGTTATATATCACATCTAACTTGGTATTGTTGCCCAACTCTTGTTAGGCTCATCTACAGAAACATACCAATGTAAAACTAGGAAAAGGGACAAAAAAAACCCCCAGAGAAATGAGACAGACAGGCAATGACCACAAACTTGCTCAGAAGCCCTCTTCTAACTACTGGAATCAAGAAGGCACCTCAAAATGATAACAAAATGGTTACCTGCTGTAGCTTTAGAAAGGGCTCTGTGAAACCAGATATAGCTTTTTTGCTTGGCTTTTTTTGGTGGTGCCTCTGCTTTTCAAACCAGGCGGCAGTAGTGGACGACACTGTGCACCACAGGGCAGATAAGTAGCTGCATAAGGAGATTTCTAACCCATTCTTGGACTCTGGAATATGATCTGTTATGGTAACAACACACAATTTGTATGTCAATTCAGTTGTCAAGAACGCACTGCTTGTGTGGAGGGGTTCCCCTTTCCCCTTACTGTATGCACATAACTCGCACTAATGCTGGTGGCCATTGTGCAAGCCCACTTGAGACCAGAGCCTGGTGAGCAGGAGACTTGTCTGACCACGTGGTGGTAGAATTAATAGGAGCTACTCTATTTCTGCAAATCT